AAAAATTAACAAAAAATAATTTTCCAAAGTAACTCTAGCATCCAATTGTTTTAGAATAAAATTGGAATAAATCAGGTAATAAAATATAAAAAATTTAAAATTAGGTCTTCTCACAAGCGCCTGACCTATTTTTTTTTTTTGAGTAAGTCAGTGGGGGATGAGGCACCTTACCTGTTTTTTCATTAATTAAAATAAAAAAGAATTACAATGCATCACACAACCTTAAAATTGGGCAGTTGCGTTAGATAAAGGAAAAGTAAAGGAGTGATAAAGTCTGGTGGACGGTGGTGCCATACAGTAGCACTTGGGCAATCAGCTGCTCTCTAGAGCATCAGCAACCATATTTACCTCATGGTAGACATGCGCAATGGACCATTGAAGGGTCGAAAGTCAGATGCGGCAATTATCAGCAATCGTCTGTAACCACCAAGTAGCTTTGACAACGGTTCTGAATGACATTCACTAAAAAGGCAAAGTCACTTTCTATTTGTATTGAGGAGCAGTTTCTCTTATGAACCTCATTAATGCCTTTTACAAGCGCAAAATATTATTAGAGACAAAGCCAAAGTGCTTGAAAAAAACAACAATCAAACCACCAGTTGAGTCCCGTATGACCCTACACCACATGCCCGACCTGAATTTCTCAAGGAGGCACATCACAAGCACCTGCCCCATTAGTAGGCCATTGTGCACATGAAAGAAAGGGAAAGGAGCAAATTCAAAGCGGAATATCCTCCAATTTTGGCAACTACACATTCATTCATTGCGTGATTTAAGTGGTCCTTAGTATCTCTCTCCTCATGATAAGTATTGATTCTCTCTCCTGTTTATTGAATCGGCTTGGGAAGAATGTAAAAGCATGAAATTTTTAAATTAATTAGTACGTAGGTTTGGAAGTCTATGTTACTCAAAAATTTTTTTTTTTTTTCATTTTGCTAAAGATAAGCAATATTATTAATAAGTAGATGGTATAAAATTTTAGATCTAAACATTTCCATATGAAAATACAATAGTACAAAAAACAATTGAGAACACCACCTTCAGCAAAGCCATCAGCAGTGTTAACAGTTGACTAAGTAATGTTACTCCAAGATTATCTCTAAAAGCAATCGCATTTAAATATTTTAATTTGAGTAATTAAATAATATTTAAAATTTTGAGAAGACAAATATGATACTCTTTCTCTAAAAATAGCCACATTTAAACATCTATACATTTTTAGCACTGTTTTTCACTCAAGGTGAAATTAGAATTTTTATGAATATAAACTTATAAATTTTCATGTGTTCCACCTTTTGAATAAATTTTGAATTTCAAAATTATTGCAAATAATAGCTTGTTTTAGTTTTAATGTGTGAAATTTACAATTTTCATATGATTTTGATCTTCTATAATCAACATGTAGTAAATTAATTTGAAATAACAATATTACCCAATTTTTAAGTTAAATAATAATAATCATATATTGTGAACCACAAATAATTATTGAAAATAAAAAGATAATATTTTAAATTCTATATATTTGGAAAGCGATATTTTAATTACAAATGGGGAAGTAAGATTCAAAGATTAATAGGAAAAGTTTATATAAAGTTGCAATCTTATTTGTAGAAATAATAATAGGGAAAGGTTTCTATGCTTCCCCTGCAGCATAGAAGTTCTATCCTTCCCCTACCATCCAGCCGTCCAATTTTGATCAAGAGAGCTAATCTCCGTTTGATCTTAGATCCGACATCTCAAAATAATTTTTTTAGTTTTTTTATAAAAATTTTATGAATATGAAATTTGATACGTGCCATCTTTTCATTGGGGCGCACCTATAAAAAAATATTAAAAATAATTTTTCTATAAAATATAATGACCAAAATACCCCTTGAAATTTTAGGGGTATTTTGGTCATTTTATTTTATTAAAAATATTTTTTTTATATTTTTCGCTAGTGCGAGTTTAATAGAAGAATGGACGTCCAAAATTTGGTGTCAAAATAGTTCATTAAAAAAAATTGAAAATAAAATAGTATAGAGACGTGACATTATGATTGTAGCAATCTTAGCCTTCTATTCAGAATGGATGGTTGGATAAGAGGGAGGATAGAACTTCTATGTTGTAGAGGAAGCATAGTAAGTTTGCTCATAATATTATAGCAGTCTACACCATTCATTTTATTTTGACAGGTAGATTGAATACTATCTTAAAAGACTTTTTACGTAGTGACATTGTCTTAAAAAAAAAATGTCATATCTACACTGTCCAAGTAAAATAAACAATATATAGATTATTCCAAATTTATTTTTATAGAAAAGGTTGCAAACTTATATATACCGCACCCAAATTAATATTTTATTTATAAGAGTACTTTTGGACAATTGCTTTTGTGAGTCAACTACTAATTTCACCAGGTAAGGTCTTGGGTAGAAAATTGAAAATGTGTCCATCAATGGACATGTGATCCTGAGTTGGAATTGAAATAGGCTAAAATATTAAATAGTTGATATTTTATATGTATTTTGATCAATTTTATTTTAAAAATATTTTAAAGTTTAACGCTTTATATTAAATTTTCTTCTTTTAAAAAAATATCACGAAATAATACACAATGTAAAATTTGCTTAATATAGATTTTTTAACTATAAAAATAAATATATTAAAGAAGTTACTTTTATTAAATTAATAAAATATTTTTTATTTCAAATAATAAAATATTATTGCCATATAACTATATATATTTATAGAGTAATGATACTATGAGACCCTCCCACACCCATGTGAGTAGGACCCCAAAGGATCACCATTAAATTTTGACACATATCTCTAGAAAACCCATTTAACCAAGTCCCACACCCATGTCATAACTTTTCTAAAGATCTATGTCAAAATTTAATGGTGATCGTTTAGGGTCCTACTCACATGAGTGTGGGAGGGTCTCATAGTGTTATTTCTCATATTTATAAGGTCTACTAGGAGTTTGACAATTTGATATTTTATTGATAAAAGTACTTTTGGTGGCTCACTGTTTTGGTTAATGCTCGAGTTTGGGAACATGGGTGGCATTACTGAGTTAATATTTCACATCAAATGGTCAAGATTAATTATGACCACCTTGTACCCAAGATGAATGATTCCATTTTATACTTTTCCGATACTGATTTGTCGAATAAAAGGCTTGGTGGATAATTGAAAACCTGAATGATCCTATGTATTCCCTTTTATGATTCAAAAAGTTACAAATTAAATTTGATTTCTTCTATTACTTAATATTATTACCCAATTATAAATTTTAGTTTATAGTTTAATTTAATGGAAAATTGTTTCATGCAGGTTAGACCACATTTTTACATATGTGGACCAAAAAGTGTAAAGCATCCATCTTAAAGATGGATGCAAATAGGCATTCCATCTAAAAACAATGGAAACTAATGATCCAAATGTTTTTTTACTAGAAATATTATTTGTAGGTTTTAAAATTTATTTATTTTTCATATTCATGATCTCCATTGTTAGAGATTGCATGTCCTTAAAAATTAAGTCTTAAAATCCATCTCAAAAATAGATTTCTTATGAGGCCTGCATTTCTACATATACGGGCTTGGCCACATAGAATCCGGGTCCTAATTTAATTATTCAAAAGTTAACCTTATATATAAAGTTCATAACTTCTGAAATAAATATTGAAAATATTAAATTAAAAAATAATATTAAATTCAAAATTTAATCAAAATGGATTTATCTTTCATGAAAATAACATTTATTTTACATAGGTCGTATTTTTGGGATTTATAAATTGGTAAAATATTTTATTAAAAGGATGAAACTTTTGTGTAATGAACATGGACTCATGGTAATTAGCAAGAAAATAAAATTAGCCATAATGGGAAAATTTTCACCTGAGCTTTTACTTCTATGGAAATTAGAGATAGTGTGTGATCCGGCATATCACTCTATGTATTTATACAAACACCCATTTTAGTAGTTTTTTTTTTTCGTTCCTAAAACTTGAGATTCATTTCAAAGGACTCGATTGGTATCTTCGAAAGAAAAAATGGATTATATGGCCATGTTTAAAAATTGGACTATATGCCCATGGTAGTAGTATAGATCATTATATGATATAATTATGTGTTATGTAGATATCATTAGATTATATAATATTTTTTACTCCCAACCCACCAACCAAATCTGGAATGTTAAGAAGAAATGAAGTATATAGCCATGCTTAAAAATTCGACTATATACCCATGGTAATATAATTATGGGTTATGTATATATCATTATATGATATAATTATGCGATATGCATATATCATCAAATTATATAATATATTTTACTCCATCATTGTTGATTATTTAGCTATTTTATAAGCTTCTTATTGTATTCATTAATGGGAGTGGTTGTATAAGGATGAGGCCTTAAATAATCAATAAGGCACTCCTTCAAACAATGCCGATGATGTTTGGGTGTGAGAAATTGTTGTGATAACTTGAAAATGTATTTTCATCTCTAATTATAAAATTTAAAGATTTGAAAATAGTATAGATCGAACATATCTATAAACACTTACAAATATATTTTAATAAATTTTTGAGGTACACTTAATTTAATTATTGAGGCCGTTCTATAAACTTTTTTCCTTCATTAAGTTCCTTATCATCATCCACAAATTAGGAACTTAGTTCGTGAATCCGATCCAGCCCACGAACCAAATCTTCTTTAAATATTTAACTATCTACTCAACGATCCAAGTAACTTGGAAATCTTGGAATACCACCAGATAAACTTTTTAATTTTTTAACTTTTTAGTGGTCCTCTCCCCAAGAAAGCTCTAATGTAATAATTGTGGCAAAATCTTGTAAAGTTTGTGGGCGACGATATTGTGGTATTACGACCCTAAAAATCTTATCCCCACGCCCATACACCCTCCACGAGTCCTGCCCCCTCGTAACCGTCGCCCAGGGCCCCCCTGCAACACACACTCTCTCTCTAGAATGGTCTTTCTCTCTCTAAAATGCATCCTATAAAATTACGAGGGAACCACCCCTCCAATGTCTCAAACCCAGTTGTCTTTCTCTCTCAAACTGTGCTTAATTCCATTTCCTTGTCCACTTACTTCTTGATCTCTATCTCTATCTCTAGTTTGTAGGGAGAAGATGGGGTTCTCTTTCCCAGTTGTCGACTTGCAGGAACTCGAAGGAGGAGAGAGAAAGTCCGCCATGGAGCTCATCAATGACGCCTGTGAGAACTGGGGTTTCTTTGAAGTAAGAACCGGTTTCTTTTTCTGCAATTGGTTCTTTAAGATCATATGACCTTGGTTCTAGAGTGGTTTGGTGATCATGGATTTTTCCTTGTAGGTGGTGAACCATGGGCTGTCTCAGGAGTTCATGGACCAGGTGGAGAGTTTGACAAAGGAGCATTACAGGAAGTACATGGAGAAGAGGTTCAAGGACGAGGTGGCTGAGAGAGTGTTGAAGAAGGAAGAAGAGGTTAAGGACTTGGATTGGGAGAGCACCTTCTACCTCCGCCACCTCCCCTCCTCCAACATCTCCGAGATCCCCGATCTCGACCACGAATACAGGTCTGTGTAACAGCTGCAGTACACCAAACGGTTGCCGGCGCCCTTATTTCCTCTGTAATTCTCACCTCGTTCATATTTGAATGCTTTGATCTCACATATCTACAACATTTTTGCAGGAGGGTAATGAAGGAATTTGCAGGGGTGATAGAGAAGTTAGCTGAGAAGCTGCTGGATGTTTTGTGTGAGAACCTTGGTCTGGAAAAGGGGTATTTGAAGAAGGCCTTCCAGGGTAAGAACGGTTACCCCACCTTTGGAACCAAGGTCAGCAGCTACCCGCCATGCCCGCGCCCGGAGCTTGTGAAGGGACTTCGAGCCCACACCGATGCAGGGGGCCTGGTTCTGCTCTTCCAGGACCCTCAGGTCAGTGGCCTCCAGCTCCTCAAGGACGGTGAATGGGTCGATGTCCCCCCTCTCCGTCACTCTATTGTCATCAACATTGGGGACCAACTCGAGGTATGTATCTCTCAGGCAACCCTAAATAACGTATCGGAAGAGATCCTTCACCAAAACCCCAGATCCGTTAAAATGAAATGTTTAGAACCTATGATGCCCAAAAAGATAAAATAAAAAATTCGCTTTTCGCGACATTGAGTTTTTGTCATGTAGATTTCTCAAAATTGGAAAAGATGCACTCTCCATTCTTCCACACACCCCTGCCTCTTCCTCTCCCTCTCCCTCTCCCTCTCCATCATCCTCTATTCTCTCTCTTATCCACTGTCTTTCCCACTCTCTTCTCCATTTTATCTCTCTCTATTGGTTGTTAGCTTTCTCTAGACTCTGCTGCCTCCTACCCACCAAATCCCCAAGAAAGCCACAAAAAAAAAAGTATAAAAATAAAGAAAATACTCATGTGTGATACTTGTGATTCTCCAGAACCAGTACTTTTTTAGTTTTTTTCCTCTCTCTTTCATCAAGTTCCCAAAGTAGAATTTGATGTCAGATATTTCTACCTGTCAGTGAATCTGCCATATCCTTTCCTCTCTGTTCCAGTTTCTATGAAACGAAAGTAAAGTTAAAAAAATGGACACTTGTTACCAACCCAAGAGAGAGGCCTTCTTTCTCTCGTGTATGGTTCCTTTCATTTGGTAAAGTGAAGATGACCTTTTTTTTTGTTTTATTCCTTCACACAGGAGTCGTCCTCCTTTGCCCACACTAGTGCTTCTTCTTTTGAGTCTTGACCAATAGCATTGCTTTGGCCCCTTGGTGTGGGGTATTTTTGGCTTAAGGAATATCTCTAATTGGATCAATTTATGGTTTCCAATCTCTCAACAAAAAGTCCTTTCCATTTTTCATGGACCACAATTACATTTTTTTAATTAGTGAAGCAACCTACCTAAGAAATTTTACTTTTGAACTTACAAGTCCAAGAATTAAAATTCCAGAAAAGAAGCATCATTTATGTTGTACCAAACAAAGAATTTGACTATGAAAAGGTTGGGTTGTTACCAAAACAAAACTATCATAAAGTGTCCCTTCCTTTTTCTACATCCCCACTATACCCTCAACACATTTTACAAAATGAACCTTGTGCCCATGTAAGGGTTAGTTGATTTTATAAACCCACTAAATGACACATAATTATGGCTTAGAGTAGTTGATATTGTAGGAATATTTTAATAAATAAGTAAAAAGTTAAATAGTTGATATTTTAAGTGTATTTTGATAAATTCCCCTTGTAAAAATCATTTCGAGAATATTTTTACAAATGACTATTATGCACTTGTAGGTGATCACCAATGGGAGGTACAAGAGTGTGATGCACCGTGTTGTTGCCCAAACGAACGGCAACAGGATGTCGATCGCATCCTTCTACAATCCCGGAAGTGATGCTGTCATATTTCCGGCGCCTACCCTTCTCAAGAAAGAGACTGCTGAGTACCCCAAATTTGTGTTTGAGGACTACATGAAGCTCTATGTGGGACAAAAATTCCAGGCCAAGGAGCCCAGGTTCGAGACCATGAAAGCCATGGAGACCGTTTCCCTGGGCCCTATAGCTACTGCATAGGTGGATATTTCCATATAATTATGTATGTTGTAAAGTAATCTATAGACGTATACCTACGTGTATGTGAAATAGAGTCTAGTCTTAGCTTAGAAAAGCTCTGAAATTTGTTTGTTTGGGGCACTACTGTGGTTTTTGTTGTGATGGAAAGGATTAGTACATGTTTGAATGAAGAGTTTATCTTGTTTTGTTAATGTGGAAAGTCTTGGATCCTCAATGAACCTTTTTCAAAACTGAAAGGGATATCACTTTCTTTCTTATATTTATTTTTAGCTGCATTAGTACAACGATCCATACTGGTGAATTGCCGATGTCTGTTTTATAAAACCTAGATCAGTGGGGTTGATCTTTCACCCACAAATTTATGTCAGATTACTGGTTCAGTGATCAAAATCAGTTTGAATTGGTGATTTAAAAAATATTAAAATAAATAAAGTAAAATAAAATAAAAAATCGAGGTCGAGGTTTATGGCATGGTGTTTAAGGGGAACTAAAAAATATATTAAATAAGACTAAAAATAAGAATATATATATATATATATATATATATATATAAATAAATAAGGGAAAAACTCCCAGACGGTGTCCAGCATAGAAACAATAGTTAGGTGGAGCAACAATCGTCCATCATTCCCAGACGAATGGCACTAAAACTTTTAAAACAGGGGGGCTCTCACGTCTCTATTTCTCTCCCCATTTTCCCTCCATCTCCCTATCTTCCTTCCATCTCTCTCTCTCTCATCCCCAAAGTTGTCTCTCCAACTTCCCCATTTTTGCTCCGTTTCTCTCTCCCTTATTTTTCCTCCCACCAAGCTCTCTGCGTGGAAATCCAATGAGAATGAGGGATAGATCAGCCCTAATCTCTAATCAAAATTGGTAAGAACTCTCTACTCTATAGAATGATCAAACAACTGACTATCTCAAAGAAATTAATCTATAGAGATACTTTTTGTTTAAAAAACCAACCCAAGATATTCCAACCAAAGACCCAAAACAATAATCTACTTCAAGGAAAAAAATGGTGTCCAAAATTTATGATGTGTGCGATTCGCTGGCAAACCTAATCTAGCCCCTGGTCTGATTCAAGGGCCACACTAGATAATCCCCCACTCTTTATGTCTCCTCCTCTCTTCTGTTTTTCTCTCTTCCCCTCTCTTTTTCTTTCTCTCTCCTCTCTTCTCATTCTCTCTCCCTCTCTGTCTCCCCTTCCCTCCTGTCTCTCTCTCTTCCTCTCCTCTCCTCTCCCCTTCTCTCTCTCTCTCTGAGATCAGCTCTAATCTTTAATCAAAATCGATAAGAACTCTCTATTATCTATAGAATGATCAAATGACTCGCTATCTCAAAGTAATCAATCCATAGAGATACTGCATTTCTGTTTAAAAAACTAACCCAATACCCAAAAAAAAAATATGCTTCAAGGAAAAAAAATGGTGTCCAAAATTAATGACGGGAAGAAATTTTTGCTCCACCTTTCTCACTCTTTCCCATTTTTCCTCTCTTTCTCTCCCTCATCCCCAAAAGGCTTAGCTAGAAAGAAAAAATTTCCTTAGAAAAGAAAAATCGTACTGTTGCAGTAGGGCAAAATCCTTATCTTTTTTTTTTATGTTTTATGTTTCTTTCTTAGATATAGTAAACAAAGTCCATGCATCGAGGAAAAATATGGTGTCCAAAATTTATGCTTCAAGGAAAACAATGGTCTGAAGAAATTTGTGCTATCTCAAGCAATCAATCAAATAGCTGACAGACTTTCTTGATTGTATGTGTCGAAAGATTGTTTTTTTGTTTTGTTTTTGTTTTTTCTTTTTCCACTCTAGTATTCCCCCAATTAAAAAAAAAAAATGATTCAAATTCTTTATTATCCAAAATCCCTAGATTATTGATTTTTTCTATAAGAAACAAAGAAATATTACTGTTACAGTAGGGCAAAATGCACATTTTTTTTTTATTTTTTTTCTTAATAGATACAGTTGAATGAATTATTAATATTATAGATACTATCATCGTGCTTTTTATTGTTTTTGGTTCTATGAAGAGGTTATGATTTTCAAGTGCTGCGTAAATTTTGAATTTTTGCTTAAGTTACAATGTAATTTAATTTTTTTTATCTAATAGTGCTCAGAAATTTGGAATTAAATGTCTTTATTGCAATTAATTTTTATGTCATGCTTTAGTTACAATGTATTTTTTTTTTTTTATCTAATAGTGCTCAGCAATTTGGAATTAAATGTCTTTATTGTGATTAATTTTCATGTCATGGTTGTATTACTTTGTTGTTGTTCTTCTCAAAAATTTGGAATCAAATGTCTTTATTGTGATTATTTGATTGGAGTTCTATTTTTTGTTTTTATTCTTATTTTATGTCATGAAGTTCTATAGATTTTCTCAATGCACAAATTCTTTTGGGAATTTCAAAAACATTGTTTTTCTAGTCATAGTTTGCCATGCTTCAATAAAAAAGGAAGCCGTAGTCCCCATGGTTGCCTTTGCTTTTCTGCAATATGTAAGCGTATATGTGAATTCTGAAGTTTTGGTGGCATTGAATGGGCATACATCAACATGTGTGCCTTCTTCTATTGACTTCTCCAATCCTCCAATTATAACAAGAGTGGTGAAGTTTTATATGGGATTAGATTGAGCCTCATTGGAATTTCTTCTAAATAGTGGTCAAGGTATTAGACATTAGTTAAGAAAGTGAAAGTTTCCATATTTGTTGTTGTTTTATGGATTACATGAATAGAATGAAATGTCTTATGGATGCCTCATCATCAATGTGTGTGCCCCTTTCCCTCGACTCTACAAATTATAACAATGTGGATAACCTTGATGCTGATACTATGGTACAGGAATCCTACAATAATACTCCCTCTGATGAGGAAATAGTGGTATTGAATGGGCATATATTGTATGTGCCCCTTAACCTTGATGCTGATGCTATGGTAGAGGAATCCTACCATAATATTCCCTCTGATGAGGAAATAGTTGCATTGAATTGGCATACATCAATGTATGTGTGTGCCCCCTTTCCCTCAACTCCTCCAATTATAACAAGATGGATGACCTTGATGCGGATACAGTGGTCCCATTGAATGGCAATTAAGGATCCTTTAACTGTAGATACGGAGTCGGCAATTGAGAGTGGGCAAGGTATTTAATGATGAAGATGAAGCTTATGCCTACTACAACCAGTATGCAAAACTCACGGGGTTTGGTATAAGAAGAAGAAGTACTGAAAATAGAAAAAAAGGTGAAAGAATCAGTTGAGTTTTTTAATGTTGTAGGCAAGGGTTTCGAAAGTAGATGTACGATGAGAGTAAAATTTCTCGCCCACACGTTAAGTGTGGATGTGAGGTAAAGTTATGTATTAGAAAGGATGACAACCAGAGATGGGTTGTCACTAAGTTTGTAAAAGATCGTACTCATGTTCTTACAAGTCCAGCTAAAACAAGATTCATTTGCTCTCATCAGAATATACCAAATACATTAAGGAAGGCGATTGACACCATGGAGACATCTATAGTTAAATCCTGGATTATAATGGATTACATTAGCAAAGAGGCTGGTGGGGCAAAAAATATCCCTTTCATTGAGAAAGGCCTTGATAATCACCTATGTAGGAAGAAAAAATAAATAAAAAGAAACGATAGGAATCTTGTTATGAGTTGGTTGCACTCGACAAAGGAATTGAATCCTACATTTTTTCATAGAGTACAACTTGATGAGTTGGGTAAGTTAACGAGTGTTTTATGGGTAGATCCAAGGCCTATATCATCGTACCAATTTTTTTATGATGTGGTAATGTTTGACACCACGTACCAAACAAATTATAGTAAATCATTTGGCCCAATCCTAGGTGTAAATCATCACGTGAGCACAATTTTTCTTGGTTGTGTACTCATCTTCAATGAGACTAGAGAGTCATTTATTTGGTTATTTAAGATTTGGGTAGAAGCAATGGGAGGACGCCACCCATGCACAATTATTACTAATCACGATTTGGCCATAACTGCTGTAGTTAAACAAGTGTTCCCGATAATAATCATCATACTTCAAGTGGCACATCATGGGAAAGATTAAATCAAAGCTAGGTCATGTTGCTCGTACACACCCATCATTCCTTGATGTGTTCCAAAAGTATGTTCTTATACAGTTGAACAATTCAAGACCGAAGTATAATCTTCAAACAGAAACTTGGCTCCCATGGTTATATGCATGCTGTAGTCAACGGGCTGATGCATATACATCTGATAAGTTCACGGCAGGCATGACAACCACATAACAGTGTGAAAGTTTCAATCCAGATCTCAAGATGTATGTCAATTTAGGAACAAGTATACCAACATTTTTTAATGCCATTGAAAAGATACAAGATAAAAAGTTCATTAAAGAGAAAGAAAATGACTCCAAAAATCTTACATCCACACCGGTACTAAAGACAACAATTAAGATCGAGAGGCATGCATCAAGGATTTACACTCAAAACGTTTTTGCGAAGTTTAAAGAAGAGCTTGTGAAGTCAACAGATAGCTGGATCAATTAGTTGAGGACAATGGTGAAGTTGTCAAATATAATTTGGAAGATCAATCCAACGTACTATTACATTCATCGAATCCAATAAGAAAGCCACATGTACATGTCAATTGTATGAGCATGATGGACTCCCTTATTCATATATGCCAAAGTTATTTTGTGTAGGGAAGGTAATGGAGATCCCACCTCATTACATTATGAGGCAATGGATAATGGAAGCAGTGAAAGTTATTGAGGGTGATAAAAGTGGTGCCAACAATTTGGCTCCATCTATTTTTCCTGGCTTCATTCAACAACATGAGGTTTATGAGTTTTTTCGAAAGGTTGTAGAACCCGCACTTGGAAATGAGGTATTCTTTGAAAAATTGAAAGCTTGCTTACCCAAGTGAACTAAAGAGTTCAATTCAACATAAAAGTCTTTGCTCGACATTGTGGCACCGACACCCTCCACTCAATGCAATATTATTCAAAATATACCTTGTAGTAGCAATAATTCAGTTGATGCTCAATCCCATGTGAATGTACTCAATCCACCACATTCTTATGCAAAGGGCCGACTAAGAGTCTTTAGGTTAAAACCTCAACGGGAGATGAAGCCACCAACCGAAAGGAAGTACAATGTTTGTAGCATAATTGGCATGACAATTGTCCAGTTAGGGCACGTGGA